ACTACATTTCACAATTAATGTTGTTTTGTTTCCGCGCTAAACTCTAGCAAGCACATGGCCTTCCGGCCATTCTTTGTGTGACGTTGTAACATTGAAATGTTGATTCTCCTTTTGTATCTCTGTCAACTTTTAATTATCCTTGCCCTCAGGAAGTCCCTCTTTCTTCGTCTGTAAAACAGACATTGTCCTGAGGAATATACATGTTTTGAAGAGGCTTCTATTTTGCTTCGAATTTCGACAAATTTTAGGCTACATAATTCGATTTCAATGTTTTACGTCAACATCACGATAAGAACTTGTTTTTTCGCAGGAAGACAGAACCGCGTTTTTATTCCTTAAATACAGCGCCGAAAATTTTTGTCTAAAAGGGAATCACAAATAAAAATTATGAGTATATGGCTACAGGTGGACGTGGTGCATTATAAATGGGCGGTGTAACGATCGTTTTGCGGTGGGCGGTGATTATGAATGGTGGTGTAAATAAATGTTGATTATAAATGTTGATTATAAATGGGTGGTGTAAATAAATATTGATTATAAATGGGCGGTATAAATAAATGTTGATTATAAATGTTGATTATAAATGGGCGGTGTAAATAAATGTTGATTATAAATCTTGATTATAAATGGGCGGTGAAAATAAATGTTGATTATAAATCTTGACTATAAATGGGTGGTGTAACGATCGATGGAAGGCCTTTTCTTCGAACACTGTAACGTTTAGTACCAGTGAATCGGGAGGCTGGCGAGAGCAGATTATATGTTGGTCGATTAGTCTAGGACGATTAATAGGCTATGATTCATTGATAGCGCCCGGCGATGGAAATGAGTTATTATTCCCGATTGTTAGCCACATATAACCGTTCCTCATCGTATAACCTTCGTATAACCTTCGTATAACCTCGTATAACCTTGTATAACCTTCGTATAACCTCGTATAACCTTGTATAACCTTCGTATAACCTTGTATAATCTCGTATAACCTCGTATAACCTTGTATAACCTTGTATAACCTTCGTATAACCTCGTATAACCTTCGTATAACCTTGTATAACCTCCTATACCTGTATAACCTAGTATTAATAACCGTAGAATCTCATATAACCGTATTACCCCGTACAATCGCATAACCTCGTATGAACGCTTATGAATAATTGCCACTGGCAATTGTTTTACTCTGAAAGTAATTATTTAGCTGGCAAACTTAAAAATCATGAAGAGACCAGAGGCCATACTTTCAAAATTCGCTAAGTGAACGTAAGTACTTACGCTCTATTTTCTTGTGTATGCATGATTGGTGGATTTTGCTTGAAAGGCCGTCAATGATTGGCTGATGAACTTACGATCTTTTAACTTTTTTTGAAAGTATGGCCCCTGGACTTCGTTCTGAGAGCTTCGCTTTTTATGAATTTGATTCGATTAAATGTGTTAAAAATTTTGTGCCTTTTTAGGTATCACTGGCAGAGGCAGCAACATGGCGTTTCCAATTTTCTTAGTGAAAAATTGCAGCCAATATAAGAGGGTGCATTAAATTCCCTTCTTATAAACTCTGTCCGAAAAAAACATAGAAATAAATACTTTAATACTTTCCGATGAATCCTTTCTTTCAATTATAATGTTAATGTTAAATGTGCTTCCTGTTCGTTCAATAGAAGGCCAAAATCTGACACTAATTTTTCACATGCTGTACCTACTTGCTGTGATCAAATTATTATTATTATAATAATTAATAAATAATTATTATTATTATAATAATTTATTACAATAAAATAATTAATAATTATATTATTATTTGATCACTCAAATATTGTGATGAGACGAGTCGCAACCGATGAGTTAGTGCGAATAAATATTAATTAAAAATACACCATGTAAATTCAAACTTTTTCATCATAAGGAATTTAAAAGCAAAGAAAACGCCAAGAAAATTCACCATATCGATATTGAAAACGTTTCGGAGTCCAGCTCCATCATCAGTTCGACTAAACTAAAAATGAATAAAATCACTTTAAAAGTCAAAATTCAAAGTGATTGATTGAGATAGCTGCTGGACTTATTGCCTGGTCCGTAATTTGCTAGGCATTTTAAGACTGAACATATGCTCCTGCACAGCTTCGTCTAGTCTGTTTTTGAAGATGTTCATACTCGGAGCGTCAACGATGCTATCAGGGAGGCTGTTCCACATGTCGGTGACTCGAAGCGAGAAGAAATGTTGTCGCATGGAACTGTAGTTTTCATATCACGCCTAACATTTCCAAGTCCACTTGAACCATTCCTTATTATCACTCATAAAAATTCAGGCGAAAATTTCTTATAGTTTCTCTCTCGCAATCCCAAATATATTTGAAGGAAAAAACTATAATATTTACCATACATTTTCCGTCAATCGTACAACCCTTCGGCTGTAACACTCTTTCTCACTTGTATTCTATTAAATTTCTTAAATTCACTCAAATTGTTTGTCGAAGTTTTTAGCGCATTTTCTCATTTATGTAAAAAATGCACTATTGTGCTCGCCATGTCCGTCTGTCTGTCCGTCTGTCCGTCCGTGACCTCAAGTTTTCGTCGACGAGAAAATGCGCTCTCTGTCACTCACTGCAGTGAGTACTGAGTTATATTTTTTTAATTTGTGACATGAGTTCGGCTGTCTGGGCATCAAAACTCTGCGATGTTCCTTGTATGGCATCACATGAAGATCTCACTCAATGGGTAACATTCACAGTTATGGCTGATTTTACAATCAAGCCTTGATTAGACTCCGTATACCATGGCCTTAATTGAAACTAATTCAACAGAATTTAAGGTTGAGCATAATTTAAGGTTTTGAATGAAACATTTAATGAAGAAAAAGTTTATGGAAACGAGTTCAACTCGGTAATGCACGTTAAAGTTAGATTAAGTTATTTGCGTAACACAATCATGCAAATTTTCACATTTCTACTGGGAACCACACTCACTATATTACAAGGAATTTATGAACTAAATTCTTTTCTAAAATATACGTCTTATATTTTAACTAAAATTTTCCTGCCAAAAATGTACAAGTAGCTAGCAGCTTTCATAATCTAGTGCACAAAAAACAGGAAGATTTATGTTTAATATTTACATTTCATGATTATTCGGTAGTTTTTCAGAATTTTTCTAGCAATTAAGGATATTAATAAATCTGATGATAAGTGAAGAATTCACCCCATCAAACATAAGCAAAAAAATTACAAATCACTAGTGCCATCCTCTCCGTAAATTATGCCTATGAGCCGCGAATAATAGCGAGAACATCTGAAACCCAAAAAATTCTTGTTTTATTCATTATTTACACTTTATTTACCTGCAATTTAATAATTTTTTCAGTTTTCCCACTAAACATCAAGTGATCATTTATTTACATATTCCCGCATCCTTATTTTAAAAATTTGCTCTAAGAGCTCCATGAAGTACTCAATCATGGCAATCAAAATTTCCAAAAATTGAACAATTCCAAAGAAAATTCTAGAAGTTCACCCGCACGTCTTCCTGCTTACTTATCTTAAGTGTAAATTATATGCTGAACAAAACCCTAACCACAGCAAATTTTGCAGCACCCCACGCTGGAATTAAACTATATTTTAACTTATTATTTCTTTATCTCTCCAAGGCCACACGCGACAACTTTAGAAGTAATTTCAATGGCGAGCTGAATTTCGAAACTTTTACAAACGTCTAGCTTTTTAAAACAAATTTTCCTCGGTTGCAGCCACAGCCTGAGCCAATCCCGCCGCATGTTTTCTTTCTTTAAAAATTCCTGTAAGTTTTATTTTAGTTCTTGAAACTTTCTTGAGGAGCGGCCTGTGATAGCGCGAGTGTGTGTGACTGCGCTTCGTGGAATGAAACGTGAAATAGTCGGCATAATGTTGAATGCATCAATTCACAGTGATAGCTTAATTTATTTTTTACATAAAAAACATTTATTTTCTAAGTATTTATATTTTATTCCTTGATATAAGTTAAGCTGACAAAAAAAATTCGATGCACCCTGGTCACATTTTTTTTCTTTCGCACATGGGAGTCTAAATATTTGAGAATTATTGATATTTCTATTATCGTCTGTTCTGAAATGTTGGTCAAATATAATTGAATGGTTCCGAAGTATCAATACACAAACAAACCTAATCTGCGGGATTCTGCTTACGTTAAATTTAACAAAAAAATTGCCAATGCCATGTCACGCAGACGTCTCTCCGACGTCTCACCGCATCTGCTCTTGAGGCCGCCTAATTAGAACAAAGTTGGGCTCCAACTTTCTAACTTTAACGAACCTATATCGCTGCACGTGCCAACGAACCTGGCCTCAAATGTTTTCCTGGAAGCGGGATTTGACTTGTGCACAAAGCAGCCGCTGGTGCATTGCATAAACCAACTTAATCATTAGTTCGCCTCCTAAGCATTTCATTATTTATCGCCCAGATAATGCAATATCAATCAGTAAGGAATTTGCGACATGTTCAAGTGCCTAGCTGGAAATTAAATCTCTCTTCGTTTAAAGACGCTGAAAATCGACCGTTTTAATTATGCCATTTGATGTAAAAATGTTAGTGAACACTTAATAAATTTCAGGTACCGCAATTCGAACTTCAATACGCATTTTTATCATTTGAACTTCCTTCGAGCAATAGTTTAACAAAGTGATCCCAGAAGTCGAAAGTTGAAACAGTGAACTACATGCCACCTTGGACTACATAAAAGTTCTCTGCCGCAAGTTAACTTAAGGAACTATCTAGAATCGATTTCTTTGGAACCCTCAGCAGCAGCGAAGTTAATTTCAGCCAAGAAAATTCCATCTTAGTTCACGAGCTTCAGAATAGATTTGAACCAAATTGAATTAGAGTGCAAAATTAACTTGTCATGCGTAACACGGAAAATTACTGAAGAATTCGCACCAACACTCAGATTGCAGGAGACGCGAGACTTGAGCGATTATTGTTTCACGATTTCAATTTCTTTTAAATGAGACTGATCCCTGACTGAAAATAATGATTTCTCTCAATTCGCAAGTATAATAAAAGTGTTTTTTTTGTCGTGTGTTGGGTTTTGATTAAGAAACTTCGTGTCTTCATTCGAATTCAAAATTTGCGAAGATATTTTATAGCAGGACAGCCTATAGCGTAACAATGAGATATATTCTCTAGTATTTTTTCTAAACACTAATTGCTAGTTAATTGTTCATCGCCAATTTAAATGAACACTTTCTTATTTACAAGTCATTGCATCTGTTTGTCTCGCGTCAGTGTGAGGTGTTGCTAACTTTATTATTCTTGAAGAGCAACAGTTCACAATTCATAAAACAATTTTGATTATTAAGTAGTTTGAATTCATTTTCACACTTTCGTATCTCAAAAGAAACTGCTTGCTTGACACTGATCTTCTTTTTGGCGTCTTGTTTGCTGAAGCTTTTGCTGACCTTTGCGATGTTTTGGTCGTCCTGCGCATAACCTCGACTTGTGTCTTCATGGACGGGCAAGCGGTGGCAGCTGCAGTGCTTCACATCACCGCCACAATTTGTGTCAGATTTTAGACCCTCGGCATTTAGGCGACAATTGCCGCCGCCGTTATTTAGACAGTAGTTGTGACGGTCGCCTTTTAGGCAGACATTGCCACTGGGACGGCCGAAATCGCCATGGGTCCGGGCCAAGAATATGAGCAACAGCCACAGCAGCGGGCCCCAAGCCACCAATTCCGGCTGTTGGCCTCGAGAGATTCCAAGCGCTTCCACATCCCGAGGCTGGACTGCCGCGATTTGGTTCACTGGGAGGGCAAAATAATCTGTTAGTCACTTGAATATTGAAATGTTAACTTGCGTGCTTGAATATTTGAATGCTGAAATGTGCAATAGCGTGTTCTAGATTTTAAATAAGCAGTACCAATGTGAATGGTTGATAAAGATGTAAAATATGGATTGCGAAGAGTTGTCTTGACGATTGTTTTTGCAATGCATCATTTTAGAAGTACGCAATAAAAAGGTATTAATTTTTTCACCTTTTTGATCAATTCGTAACCCTTCAAAATGATTTTCAAAAATTTTATCCCTCATATTTTTTATATATAGCTTCTGATTTGCGAATTAATATTTTTTTCGGTTCTTACGATGTCAAAATTATTTACATGGATAGAAAGCCTGCGAAACTTCTTTTGGCTCCTGAACACTATTTTTCTGTAAGTAATTTCAAAATTTCAACTTTTTTGCAATCTCAGTTTTACCTGCACCACACTCTGCGTTATCTACACTATAATGCTCTCATGCTCAGTGTTCTTTGCATCACACTCACCCTGCGTGATGTACACTGTGATGCTGTCAGGCTCAGTGTTGGCTGCATCACACTCACCCTGCGTGATGTACACTGTGATGCTGTCGGGCTCAGTGTTGGCTGCATCACACGTGTAGTTGCCTGAGTCCGTTAGACTCGCATCAGTGATGGTGAGTCGGGATCGAACTCTCGGCTTAGAGTCGATTTCCACGGATATGCCCCCACGTCTTTTGTAATAATTGATCATCCGGGAATTGTGGTACCAAAAGATGAACTGTGGCGGCACTTGACTCTGCAAATTAGCAAGATGTTCTCATGAAATTAACGGCTTCTTGCAATAAATGGGCTCGTAAAGGGTAATTGCTAAGGCTGATCTAGTAGCTCGATCATTTGTACGCGACCCTTGCAAGGGACATGTTCGTCATGGATACGAGGTTATGAGCGACCATGGCAATGACTTTATAGCCAGCGGCTGATCGATTCAGCGGTTATTTCTGCTCTAATGGTGAACTGAACTAGAGCTGGTGATTAAAATTGCTACTTTTGTTCAGAATTTTTGTTTCTCTTCTACTAATATTAATAGTTTTTTGTTTATTTCGTATCATGGACTGATCCAGATATTATTTTATTATTAATAAAATTCAAATCATTATATCATTTCTCATCATTTTCAATCTCATTTTTTTATTGAACAAAAAGTTTTGCTCTAAAAACAGCAGAAATTAGGAATCTTGTTGTATATAAATACTTGTCGTGCCAGGCATTCAACTTATTAGCCATAACTCTTTATCTTACCAACGCAGTCGGGACAAAAATAATTGTATTCACCCGCAATAACTTCGAATAAAAGGAAACCTTGAATACGTTGAAACCTTGAATACGAATAAAAGGAACCTTGAACCAACGTTAATTTAAGACAAGTTTTGGTCCCGATTTAAGTCACTCAAGTCTCAATTTAGGCAATAAACATTTTATGAAGTAAAATAATGAGTAAGTCTAATGATTGTCTGGCCATGATTTGTGTCAGTTGCCGTTCTCCGCCCAACTGGTTCCAACCAAATACGAGTGTCAACTTAAATAAATAAATTTACACACGAGCATCAACTTAATTTGAAACATTTCAGCTTATTAAGTAAAATAAATTAAATGCGCCCATTCCTACTCATAAATGACTAATGTGCAGTATTAGTATAGGTGGTAAGCTAAACCGATGGTTTACCGCCAGTGTTCTGGGCCTCCAAGTGGTCAGAAAAAATTCTGGAAACCACAGCCGCTACATCATGCGCTCATGTTTGGGGGACCCACCATGAGTTCAGGCATCAGATGTCGTCATTATATTATTATTATATGATATTATTATTATACATGTATAATATGTTAATATATACTATATTATATATAATATATATTATTATATATTATATTTTGACTTATTAAGAGATATGTATATAACATATATATATATAAAATAATATATTATATATAATAATATACAATATATATTATTATTACGAGACGCAGACCTCCTCGATGAAGCAGGTAAGGGAGATGGTGGAGCCAGCATCTACGTGATACTCGCCGTTGCCAGGGATGACGGCCCGCGGCGTGACGACTGAGAGGTGCACCAGCTGCGACATGCTTGTCATGCCTCCTACGATCTGATGGTCAAGGGTGCAAGGGAATGAGATCCTATAAAGTTGTATTAATCAAGCGAATAAGATCTTATTAAGCGAATAAGATCTTATAAAGTTGTATTAATCAAGGAGATGGAGACACGCAATCGGCATGAAACTTAATGTGCAATTATATGTGCATTATGGCTCACAAAAAAATGATAACGAGAAAACAGTATTCCGTGAGCTGTAAGAAGAGTTGTAAAAGTAAGAAGAAAAAGAAACAACTTACAACTTTCTGTAAGAAAAGTTGTAAGAAGATTATGTTGATTAATAACAGCAATGACTTGATGGATGCCCTCAGCAAACGAGTTATTCTTCTCTACAATAAGACTTAGTGCAGCGCTGCCTGCCTGTCTCTGCAGAACAATGGCAACATTTCTTCTGTAACAGATTTTACCAAAAGAGCGCCAGTAAAAAATTACTGGCATTGAGTCTTCCGTGTTGCAGATATTTAAAGTTACTAAATAAATAAATGAATAAAAATATATGAGTCTCAGAAATGGAGATGATTCTTTATCAATTGTAAGTCCAAGCCAAAAATTTTGCATCAGTTGCGTGAGTAAAATCTCGATAACATCATGCAGTTTGCTTTAATTATTCAGGTTTTATTTGCAATTGATGCCTATATATGTGCTTGTATAATAGCAGCGTCATTACCATTCGGCCAAATGTGGCCCCTTGCTGATTCTTGACACAGCAGAACTCTCGCTGCTTGAAGGGCTTTGAACCCGAAGCTCAATCCAAAATCGCTCCAATCTAGCTATTTTCAAAAACCGCCAATTTGACCAGAATTGTTACAGGAAGCTAGGATCGAGCCCGCAACTCACTACTCCAATCCTGATACTCTGAACTTTAACCACTCGGTCACCACTCAGTCACCACTCGAGTGTAACCACTCTTTTTAACCACTCGGCCCAGTGGTACTAGCTCAGGACACTGACAGGATTGACTTTTTTACGCTCATTCCCAATTTATTCATTTAATCACACAAGTTAATCCTTTTATATCAAAGATAAACTGCCATTTTACGAACTATGCATAAAAACGTTTTTGTCATCAATTCAAAGCATTGGAAGATGTCCTTAAATTTTTGGATGAAATTCAACAAAGTTTCGGAATTCTCAAGGTTTAACCGCAAAATCTAATTTTACTTTCGTCGTGTGCGTCGCTTGCACATTTAGCCCGACAATCATTTTCTTATTTCTCGCCAGCATCATTATCATATATCCTTGCTCTACGATGACCCATTCAGCATATTTCACCCACGGTAGAAGCTTTATTTGCCGACACCTACTTGCAGCTCACTGTTTTACAGTTCACTTTTCTCTTTTTTATTTATTACTTCTTCATTATTTCTTAGACACACTTACTAGACGCTTAGTTAGCTCCTTTAGTTGAGTCTAATAGATACTTCAAACTACGTGCTATATTTTCCATCCAATAGTTCAAATCATACACATGATACCTGATTTTATCACCCTGAATTTGGTACTCCTCTCCCACAACTAATTCAGCTCCTCTTGCCCTCACCCATCACCCTCACCCATCACCCTCACCCTCACCCATCACCCTGACCCTCACCCATCACCCTCACCCTCACCCATCACCCTCACCCTCACCCATCACCCTCACCCTTAATTATTTACTGGTTCGTTACAATGGTCAGGTGATTAGGTGATTTAATTTAAATTTGTGATTAAAATTATTTACTGGTTCGTTACAATGGTCAGGATATGCCAGTCATTGCGTCGCACCCATGAAACCTTGCATTAAATTTGTAATTAAAATTATTTACTGGTTCGTTACAATGGTCAGGATATGCCAGTCGTTGCGTCGCACCCATGAAACCTTGCATTAAATTTGCGATTAAAATTATTTACTGGTTCGTTACAATGGTCAGGATATGCCAGTCATTGCGTCGCACCCATGAAACCTTGCATTAAATTTGTGATTCAAATTATTCAATTGTTCGTTACAATGGGCCTGATATAAACGGGATGAATTAATTACAACTTCGATTGAAGAAGAAATTGGCTTTCATTTTTTAAATGAATTCAACACACCAGGAAGCATTGCTATACAAACAGAAACATTACGCTAAAATTATGAACTTAATTTACAATTGTAATGTATTTAATTGAATCAGTTAAAACTAGATATAATTTGAAAAAAATTAAAGGAGCTCACAAAATTAGCAGTCAAGTAATAATTGAAATTAACCTCCTGTGGATTCCTCGTAAAGAAATTACGAAAGAATCAATGGCATCCAATATAGTTAAAAAAAATTGTGGTCTTCATAGAACAAAATATTGTAAATTTTTTCCGTATTCAAATGCGAGTTTAATCTGTTGTTATTAAGCCTATATTTATTAATGATATATTAAAGACAGGATTTTCGCTTACAGCTTCAATTTCTCCACTGATTTATTGACAGAAATACTAAGGTTATATTGATTACAATTCTTCGATATTTTTGTCGCTCCGACACGAGCAACAGATCTCGTTGCACACCGAGTAAAAATGCAGAACACGTGCATTAATTTATATTAATTGTTTAATGAAATTACGGCTTCAGTCACACAAAAAAGGAACATGAGGAGGTTTATGGTACTGAAAGCTCAATCAATTTATCAATTGCTGGCACTAATTTAGGTAAAACTGATTTTATAACTAATTTCGGTTACAAAATAATTTGAACAAAGATTACTTCCTCAAGGAAGATTACTTCTTCAAGCTAGTTATTGCCAACTGTATTAACTGAGTCCTGAATTATTATTAACTGAATGATGAATAATAAACATTCCAGCATCAGTAATTAACTGCTAATCTTCATTAACTTCGATATCCCCTTCAGAGGATCGGTGGCCAACGACACAACGATGCTCACGCGAGAGGCACTGAACTGAATTACAACAGAAAGCGAACAATTCGAATTGATGATGTGTCATCATCAATTCGAAACCTCGGTGATGTGTCGAATTTGCTTCTGACTGCATTAATTATATTTGCCAAAGTTTACCATGATATAAGATTTATTTTGCATTTTTAATAGGAATTGGAATCAGAATGCAACATATATATTTTATCTTCAAATAATGACGTCTAATCTCAAACGATCTCAAAAAGCAGGGGAAGGCTTTTTGCTGGAAATTCAAGTATTCACTACCAGTAAATTAAATGATTTTAAAGAATACGAACTCGTCCATGTTTTTTATTTAATTTTTCTTTATTATTTTCTTTATTTATAATTTAAAAAATTGGGATTCTTCAATTCCAAAAGCTCTTTGCGCAATGCAACTGAAAGTATTCATATTAATCGTATTATTCAAAGTATTGTCCTCGTTGATCCTCCTAAATGCGCATTATTTTAAACCTTTGTAAAAAATTCATATTTATGAGCTGGCACCAAAAAAAACGTATCGGGCTTTGAAGTTTTCCACCTTTTCAGTAGTCGTCGATTCAACATGATTGTTTCCAATACGTGGAAGAAATTAATAGTGTAATTAATTAAATATAAATTTAGTTTTTACACATTTTGCAATCACATCATATGAGAGCCTATTGCAGTCATTATGGTATTTCATTTTCTCATATTTTTTTTATTATTCATACTTTAACCTAAAACTTCTGGCTATGAAGTTAATAAGATAATTGAGTGATAAGTGAGTGACAGAGAGTGCATTTTCTCGTCGACGAAAACTTGAGGTCACGGACGGACGGACAGACGGACGGACAGACAGACAGACAGACAGACAGACAGACAGACAGACGGACATGGCGAGCACAATAGTGCATTTTTCCATAAATGAGAAAATGCGCTAAAAATAGGTTAAGATTTGTAGGTAGTAACAAAATTCCAGATATAATATCTAAACGAAAATACAAGTTAAACTGGCATTATTTCAATAAAATGTGTTTAGGCCCTTGCATTTGTCATGTATTTATAGTTGTTGAAGATGACAGTTAATACGAGTCTGGCTCACTTAACAAGTTCATTTGTTGTGTTCAAGCTGCCAAAGCAAGCTGTGTGTTCACGCTCAGTGTTGGTGGCTGTAAATTTGCTCAGTGTTGCTCGTTATTGGACAGCCTAGCGCATGTGACGTTAAACAAATGTGTTAAGACTTCAAGAATTTATTAATGTTCGCCTCTTGCTGTTCTGGACTGAACCAGCGATCGTTTAGCACGCCCCTGTCAACATTTTCTTCAGAAAGCCAAATGGCTTCCATGTTCTTAATTAATGAGATTACTGAATAAATAATATTTATCATTGGTTTTTTCATGTATTGGTTTAATTAGTTTACCGAGAAGATGTTCTGCGATTAAATATTTAAATAACCTGATTGTTCAATGTTCACGTCACTTGAATAAAGCTTTAGCTATGCAGGAAACACAATCGCTAATGAAAAATATTAGTCTGGGCAACAAACAATCTGTCTAATGCCCAGCTGCGGACAGCATCAATTCAGTCTCTGGAATGCTGCTTAATTAATATCATTGCATTACTTACGTTCCAGCGACCATATTTTATCCGGACGGCCATTTTTGGGTCCGGTATTATTTACGACAATGTGCATCGCGCTAAGATTGCGTCTCCGGGTCCAGGAAAAACGCAATTACTTGATTGGAAAAACTGGCGAATATGCAAGGAGCTTAGTGCATTCAGCCCTCAGAATAACTTGCAATCGTAGTATAAATGGAGGAGAAATCTATCTTTCATGCCGTTATTATTAAAAAAGATATTATACATTTGAAATGGGAATAAGACTTGAGGAACATTATTGCTGTCAAGACACAAATTATTGTTTTCTAACTGCAATCTTTATGTATATACCATAAAATATTTTTTCGGCAGCGATGCTTCTTAGAAACTGGCAAAAAAATCCCCAAAACGATTGAGTAATAAAACGAATGACGGGACTAAATATTTAAATGAACGTGAAGAATTGGGTGAAATTTTAAAATCAAATGAATCCAATACCTCTTAGTTCATTTGATAATTTTAATATTTAATAAATGAGTACAATTCTTATCCGAACGAGGCCGACTTGCTAAGATATTATCCTAAAGCTTCCAATGTTCAACGATAGAATGATCACAATTTTTAATATTTCATATTCTAAACTGGTTGCTGGCAATTAATTTTTGCAGCCAATTAATTTAATTTCTCAACTTTAATGAACTTTTTTATTTTTTGCCATGCGTATGATTTCTGAAATGTTTGGACTGTCGCAAAAATTATTCCGGATTCACGTAATGAAAAGCAAAGGCATTAATTGAGCTTGAAAACTTCACTCACAATTCCACGCTTGCTGAATGACAATCATGTTCATATTTCAAGTGAGAATTATAAAAGGAACGTCAAATGATGCTTTTTGACATAACATTTATCAAAAATTTATGTGGAATTATTTGAGTTTGCGAAAAATTCAACCATGCCTTTCTTATCTCACGAGGCGGCCATGACATAAATTTAGAATTTTAGTCGAGAAAATATTTAATATACTGAAAATCTGTTCACGCAAACTTAACCTATTCAATCAAATAAGAACCAAAAACCGGTTCACATTTTTATTAAAACTTTTTATTATTTGGGCATGTTCTTACTACATTTGCATCGTTCCTCTACAACGCATTGTGTTCAACGAGCTGATGATAGATCTATTCGCAACTTGTTTTTCTTTTCCATGGATTTTCTTTTCTCAATGTTATAGCGAATCCATTAGATCAGGTAAATGTGAGTTGCTTGCCTGGTTCCTCAATTCAATTTTCTCTACGTGAAGTTTTAATTTCACGCGCACAATTTCATTAAATTAAATTAAATAATAATTTAATTTAATTTAATTTATTAATTAAAAATTTAATTAATAAATTAATTACATTTTTAATTAATCTTGTTTATTGAGGAAGCGGTTCAAAACTCCATATCAATTCAGCACGTCAATGGTGAACGCTATAAGCCAGACTTAGTTGTATCTGTGCAACGTAGGTTTCTTGAAGCTCGTATCGATGGCAGTCGCGGCTTAATGTCTCCACGGAATTAGTGAGATCGTTACAAATAAGCGACCATGCGCAGCCATCGCTTTCAAGTGATAAGTGCTGTCATCGATTGTGACCCACTAAAATGAGTGTCCTTTGAGGAAGTCACGAAACGCTTTTGATGCTTCAATTATGTCTGGAACTGTCATACTCAAATGAAGAATTCATGCCTGGCTGGTAAGTCTGTAATGTCTTTCTTTGAGAGAATCTGAAGGCAAGGGTGATACTATCCTATTGTGCAAGGGTGATACTAATCCTATTGTGAGTCAGTTCAGCATTAAATTACTACTTGAGATACTTCGAGGACATTTTTCATTGTTTTCTCTGATTAATCTTCTCTACCACGATTCTTCTCTATCATCTAAAGGGCGGTAAATATTAAGATTCCAACATTTTTTATTGTTTGTGTGTAATCTGATAAATTACTATGTATGTATTAGTATAAGATTTATGGGGCAAAATCCAGTAAAATGTATTTTAAATGTAGAGCTAAGTTAAAGAAGATTGATCAGAGAACTTAGACAAACAAGCAATTGACAGAGCAGAATTCGAGCTGATTTTTTCCAGGAGGCTAGAGAAAACGGAGCATTCTTCGGTGAGATTTCTCATTGATGATTGGAAGTTGCTAAATGATCTAAATGAAACATCTCCACAAATCTGTCCGATCGATGTACGATGGAAGCATTGTGAAATAGTTCAAGTTCACGCGCTGACTACATTTACTTTGGCAAGTTTTTCGAGATGAAATAAACGACGACTTTTTCACAAAAGTTAATATGAATGTTTAATGATTTGATAAAATATTTGATCAAATAGTTTTATCCACAGCAAAGCGCGTGACGATGATTTTATCACAAACGTCATATAAAAAGCACGACCGACATTCACACACCATTCCAGCATACTTCTAGGCCAACCCTAGCTATACTGGTCGCATGATTTTAATTTGTTCCCTCATAATTTCCTCCATCTAACTTGGCCAGAACCATCTAGAACCAATTGAACTACCATCTCTAGCCTTGACTGAAGTTAAGAATATGCCACAAACTTCATTCCTTCACTTTAGGTTTCAATCTCTACTACTTATCGAAGATTTGAAGCTACATGCCACACCTGCTTGCCCATAGACTGAGGAGTTTCACATGGCAGAAAGACCACATCCCCCGTCCTGGCGGTGGTGTTGGTGGTGGTAGTGACGGTAGATGGTCTTCTGAATGCCACTACTTGGTTCAGTGGGAACTTGGCAGCGACTCCTTCAGCGTATCCAGCTGGGGGCAGAGCTGTCGTCGACTCGGTGCCTGTGAGCACCGCTGCGCTGCCTGCGTAAGAAAAATTGAAAAACTTTACTTTAATTTCCGTCTAGTCCATGAAAATGTTCGGCGGCGCAGCCGTAGGCCGCAGACTACGCTTGAACTCCGTAATCCAGACAAGCGACACACTGCCGAAAGATAATAGCGCCGTAGGTCTTCAGCCAATGTTTAAGCATGCTCGCTCATAAGCAGGCAGTTCCCCATCCGGCTGTACCTACTCCGGCCTAACCTCTTCTGGCCTAACCTATTCACGCTGTCCCGGCTCACAACCTTCTTGCAGCCAATGACCAGTAGACTTGGACCGCCTTTCTAACTTCTTGCAGCCAATGAGATTAGGTTAGGTCCGCTCAGGTTTGTTCTGGGTGGAGAAAGCTCGCAGCTCGTTTAGGTTAGGCCTGAAGAGGTTAGGCCTGAAGAGGTTAGGCCAGATGAGGTTTGGCCAGATGCAGTATGGCCATGTTTACCTTTGGCAAGCTTATTTTGTCGCTGTGGACATCCGGCGCTCTGGCTTTGAGCACATGACTTCATAGGCCGTTATGCACTCTAGCGTTTCTACCTATGGAACGGAATATGAACTAAGTGTGAAGTTTGGCAAAGCTGGCCTCCGGAATGCGTCCCAAAATTTTCGAATTATCGATTCAACTTCATATACTGGAAATATAATCGGAATAGAAAAGAGACGAATATTTTCTTCTTTTAACGATAATTTTACTTTTCATAAGTATTTTGTTCACTTGAAACCTGAGAGGTGTACAATTTTTTTCGGACAACCATAAAGAGGCACATCAAAACAACTGAACTACTGAATATGATGCATATCAAAAATATTCATTTGCTTTTGTACACTGTGAGCTTTTTTGAAGATTCCATTTTATGAATTTTATCCACATTCAATTCATACAGTATGTGCTTGCTGTTTAATCTACAAAATTTAGTTGAACGAACATAGCTAACGCAGTGCAATGGGGGGACAATTTTACATATGTACGTTTATCGATATTAGGTTCAAGCAATTCATATACCATTAAAGTGCAGAAAATATACCAAAACATTATTTTCATGAATATTTTCATTCATCATTAATATTCTTTTCATGGAGCGTTGCTTCTGACTAAGACACGAGAATTGCTAGCAAATTGTGCGCCTGTCAAGCGCACTGTAAAAACATAGCGAGGTCCAGGAGCTGTCACAAGCGCCTTCAACGAAATGATCGATGGCAGCAGTGCACTTCACAGAGCCGCTCTTGGCCCTTGCCTTATCTCAAATAAAGTTCCTAACATTTCCACATGTTTCAATCGTTATGAAGGTTCTTTAGTAATTTTACTAATATTTGCTGTTGAACGCTTGTACGCACTTAAATTTGTCACGGGTTCAACTAATTTTTAAATAAAATTGTGAGGCAGATTCGCCTAAATTCAACATAATGTCCAGGAACTCCATTTACAGGTAAAGTTTCGTTCGGTTTCAAAATTTTCTAGATTGATATTTTATTAGGAAGAATTAGTACAAAAACTTAACTAAAATTTTATATTTTATGAAAAATTTTATTACCTGCTCAATTATTAATGAACTTTCTATCACTAGAAGTAATTCGTTTGTTCATGAATTGCTTTGAATATTTTAAGTGACGTGGTCTCTCCATACGAGTATTTTTCACGATGGCCGCTGTTGTTGCTGCCACTCGCATGCCAGTTTATTTAGGATAATGGTTCGGTATACACAAAGAGCTCCTTTGCTGTGGATTTAATCAAGTTCCTTGGCAAAAATCACACCACGAAAGGTGAAGGTAAAGCGCTGGTTTTCTTAAAGCATTTACGGACGGCTTGCCTCTTGAGTTTCCACGGTTCTAAAACGCGAAAGATTCATTGTTCGTTTCGGACGTTAACTCTGAAATAACATGGGGATATTTTGGATATGTATCAAATTTTACTGCGATTTCGGATTTTGATGCCTAACCCAGTTGCCCAGTGTTTTTTTAACGAGCCATTTAAAAAACATTAATACAATATCGGAATTTTTAGACGTTAAGTGCAAGTCACCCTGATATTATAACTCAATTCTAAATTTGGATAAAATATCCTTTGCTTTCTCATGAGTCAATAACTCAAAATTCATCTTGAGGCAATATTTTTGTACGTGATTTCGGAAAGTTTGTTCAACTGAGTCCTACAGTATCTTGAGAATCAACAATCGTCCAAAGTGGGACTTAAAAATCATGAAATTAAATTATTTCAATGTGAAATCAAGGCTTTATTTCAACATTTATTTCCAAGCATGGTTGGAAATGTCTCACATTCTTGGATATACAGTAAGTCAGCATCGACGCAGGATTTTGTTGCGTGGGCCGTGCGGGATACACCATTTGCTTGTCAAGATAACGCGTTGTATTTCACACATTACTGTAATATTAAAAAAAAAACTTTTACCAAAATTTGGAACAATGTACTTTAAAAAGCCGCAGAAATTTTTCAAATCGTTTGCTCTCCGAGGTTCTCTGCGTGGGCGCTATGACGTGCAGTTGAAGTTCCGAAAATTACTGCGGGATATTTGGAATTTATTGGCTACATTTCTGTTTAAGTTTTAAGAGCATCAAGAACTGTTATGCGAAAGTCGCTTAATTATGATTAAACGTCAACAGTATGACAGAAAGTTTTGATTTTCGCATTGCAAAAAGTTTTTATGTTGTACTTCATTTCCACTAACAATCATATTAATCAATCAATGCAACATACCACTCGAAAATGTTTGTACATACTGTATTAGATATCGAAACATCAAGAGGCTAAAATTTAAATGTTTAACTTGTGCAGGGTTCAGTCTTGTTTCAAGTATCGAGACAAAATTAATTAGACGTATTTTTTTTACACGATCATATAATAAAAGGAAAGTTTCTAAGACTCTTTGGAAGTGGCGAAGTATATATACTACCCACATTTAAGTCACCGACGATATTAGAAACGGATACAGTATAGTCGCCGTGGCCTTTATTGCAGTTTTTTTCTAAATAGCGCCTACGTTAAATACGGTAGAGAAAGCCTAGAATTCACCGGAACCTACACTTCAACTTACATTTTTTTTTATCAAATTAATGAAAATGCTGTAGGATATCGATTTTGGACGAAAATAAAGAAAAATCCCAAGAATAAATATTTTTCCTAGCTACTATATTTAAGTGGATTCCAAATAACATTAAAATTCGTGTTAAGTAGAAACTGTCATTTCCACTGTATCAATTTTGGGAGGACTGTTCCTTCACAGCTTCATTCACCTCGATTCTAATTTATCGAAAAAACGCACTTCAGTGATGAGCGGTTCCGTATAAAAATTAGTCTGTTACTGTGCAGTCACTAGTTGTAGTGTAGCACACATGTCAGCAATTTGAACAGAATTCACCTTGAGTTAAAATTTCTTTCTAAACAGCGTGAAAATTTTTCTCGACTTCTCGAAAAATTAAATTCTTACCCCATCTGTAGTATACCTACAAGAAATAGAGAGAAAGACCTTAATGTATGCCATCGACCTCATCAAATCAGCGTCGTTTCCTTTTGACAGAGGTCCTAGGTCCTATTTCCCTTTCCTTTAGGACAAAGGTCTTAGGACATCGTTCCCTTAGGACAGAGGTATTAGGACATCGTTCTTTTAGGGCAAAAGTCTTAGGATATCGTTCCCTTAGAACAGAGTCTTATGGACATCGTTCCTTTAGGACAAAAGTCTTAGGACATCGTTCCCTTAGAACAGAGGTCTTAGGACATCGTTCCCTTAGAACAGAGTCTTAGGACATCGTTCCCTTAGGACAGAACACAAACATATCTCAGGCACCTTTCCGGCCGGTCTGCAAGATTCAGTGAACATGTAATATTTCTCAAACTAATGAACGCAGATCGATGAAACTTAGCACATGGCTTCATTGAAACCTGAAGGTGATGGTTAGGTCGGGATCATTTTTTTCGATTTCGCCTAACGGGCCAAAATTTACAGTGAACATAAAATAGTTTCTAAACTACTGAACAGATTCTAACGTGACTTTAAATATACATTCCTAATCACTTAACGCTGCTGTTTAGGTCACGCAAAAATTTTTAATTTGGCTTCATTTGCGAGTTATTTGACTGTACGGTGAAGCAACTCTGCGTATGATTGTCAAATTTGCAGTCAACATGAAACATCTTCCCAACTAATGAACGCAGCTCGATGAAACTTTGCGCATGCATTTATTATAACCTTACGGTGATGTTTAGGTCGTGGCAATTCTCTTGATTTCACCTTCGAGTGCGGCGTAAGTGAACTGTAATAAAGTGGTAATGCTTTATGGCCCGTATGACCGTATAAGTTAAAATAGAAGAAAATTTTGAAAAAATAATCACTACCTAAACATCACCCTTACGTCCTAATTTATGCATGTGCTAAGTTTCTTCGAGATGCATTCATTAGTTTGAGAGATATTTCATGTTCACTGAATCTTGGAGACCGGTCGCAAATCCGGCTGAAGAATTTTCCGAGAGGTCAAACGTAAACTTACCTTGCCTCGCCTAAACTACCGAGCGCAAATCTCTGTTTGTGTGTGAAAGTTGAATCAATTAGCATTTTTAGCGCATTTTCTCATTTATGGAAAAAATGCGTTATTGTGCTCGCCATGTCCGTCTGTCTGTCTGTCCGTCTATCCGTCCGTCTGTCCGTGACCTCAAGTTTTCGTCGACGAGAAAATGCACTCTCTGTCACTCACTGCAGTGAGTACTGAGTTATATTTTTTTATTTATTCAATAGGTTTGCTTCAGTGCAGGTTGAGTACGCTGTAGTGTGAAGATGTCCTCCGTGTTGAAGGCAGGCTGGCAAGTATAGTCTCAAGGCAAACGCAATATTATGATATCATAGATTTTTGCTCCCTTTATATTCAAGCGGTGGTATATCGTAGTAATCTTAACCTCCTTTACATATTATTATGTAGAAAAATATGTGTATTATACAGTGCATCCGATGTACCAAAAGCTCGAAGAATGAAATCTCCTAGCATGAATTTTCTTTTCTCTTGACGGAAACGCAGATGCTGTTAAAGTCGGGAACTCGTGGAAGGAAATGTGTTCGGTTGCTTAGCACAAAATGCTCAATTTTCTTATTGTGTCATGGCTGCCTCCTCTCAACCTGTGAGCAAGAGTCTCTAATGAGGAAGTGGGTGTGGAAGTGATATACGCCTCGCTTCAGATGTATTTTATGAAGTTTAAGGCGTTTTAATTTGTGTTTGAAGGCACTGAATGTTGACGTGTGATGCCATATAATGAGGATTAATAGACTAATACTTGTAGGAATGACTCACGTGCGCTTTCCCCTTCAATGCTTAAGTCTTGTAGTTGTGTATAATTTTAGAGTATAATTATATATATTTTTGTGTATAATTATTATACGGTGTATAATTTTTAGCACGGAATCCCGTAATTGACTATCCATGTGTTCACACCTACCATTTTTCTAATTTTCTAAGAGGTTTTCTAATTTTTAGTGCTTATAAAAAATAAAAATAACGTTCTCAAGTGCGCTTCTTGAGATTTTTCAAGTAGATTGTTATCCTCGCCTCTGTTACCTCATCAGAGATAATGCTCGCTCAAGCGCTTCACTATTCATAGCGCCATCAATTCAAGATTAGCAACCAACAAGCATTGTACGCCTAATTTAAAATGCAATTAAGAATTAGAATTTCTTCTCAGGTAAGCATGGAGCTTGGCCTAAAAAAAAGATTGATTTCCCTCTGATTATGTTACGACCACCGAAGGCCGGGTGATCTGAAGTGCTCGTGTATACGTTATGTCTTCGGCAGATGCGGATGACATGGTTTTACTCGACTACCGGATTTCTTATGATTCATAGGGAATAATCCTGCCTCATTAACTATAAAATCGATTACGTACTCATTAAGCCATTTTCTTGGTGCATTGCCTTCCTTTGCACTGTCGAGTCGATCAGGATTACTCGCGATACAAAAAAAATTCTAGAATTGGTTGTCAATAGAGAACCGACTTCGGTCACACTTGTCTGTATCTTCTCTTTTGAAATGGCATGCAAGATTAGTATTTATAGTTTTTGAATAGAACTTTGCTAAATAAATTCAACTCAATTGGCGGAGAACCACTAATTTTCTAATGAATAATCTTCGGCTTTGGTTATGCTGCACCTGCTAAATTACAGCTAAAGTTCATTCGATTCTATGTTCATTAGCTACGAGCAATCAGGAACCTGTCAACTGTAATTCCTGTATGAGAAGCCAATTTTGTAATGTTGTTGGAAATGTTTGGTTTGTAATCAAAGGCCTTTTGAGTCGCTCGTATCCCTTATGCAGATGACTCGATTGCGTCAACTCGGACTTTGACTTCATCAGTGAGTTTGTTTACGTGCCGAATTTGGCTAATGAAAGGTAAACAAAAAGCCATGAAATCAACTGTCCAAACACTTGAACAATGCAGCGTAATTTAATTAAACGATTTTATCATTGAGTTACTGAAAATGTGTATCTTTTTGCATTTCATTAAAATAGTAAAAAGTAGAGCAGTACGTCGATTAGGTCTCACTTTAGCTCGGATCTTGGGCTTTTTTGCCTTTAATGATTTCGCAGCGCCATTGGTTGAAATAAAATTGAATATCGATCTTATTAACAGTAAGATAACATCGATGACTCGTCGCTTGGTCCTTAGAGATATAAATTCAGACTTGCGATGTTTGACGCTTCGAATATAATATCTCTCATGGAAAAATAATGAAATGCTCCAAGGTTCAAATAAGGTGGAATAACGAGTGATTTGTACACGTCTTTTCAATTGAATAATTCCCTTAAAACAAACCAATTGTTCCAGTTGGTTAGATATTCACTCGTTTGATTGCCTGCCTAACCAACCAAGCTCGTCTCATTCCTCAAATGCATCGGCAAACACACGCTCGTTGCGTGCAGAGTGCGCTGCACCGAAAGAAGATCATTTCTGCAAAATTTTGCTGTCACTGAAACGTTAAACGTGAATACCGTTTTTCTCCTGTCGTTTTCATGGAAAAGAATCAAGCGGCTGTGCATTGTGTAAGCGCGACGGTTACGTCCTATCGAAAAACACTTATGAAAGTAATGAAAAGTGCACAAAAAAGTAACCCAGCGAATGGCGCGCTCTGAACTAACTGATCGTAATAACCGAGTTAAATTCTGAAAAATACATAATAACAAACTTAAGAAACAGAAAGGAATGACTTCACTTGAGTTATTCCTAACAAAATTATCACAAGAATTCATAAATTAACAACAGCCTCAATTCTTGCTGTACGTAAAACACATACATGAACAGTGAAGTAAATGCATCGCGTGCATCAGTATCTATCAGACCGAGGCTATGGTCCGGAAATTCGTTGTACCTGGTCCATCCGTCCCCATTATATTAGCCTATCAATATCTATCGCAGCTTCCCAGGTCCTCTATGCCTCAGCAACGCAACCTCAAGCCAAGGCATGAGTTGGCCAAGCTGAAGTTTGGTCGGTCTTTATAATTAAACTATTACTCACCCCTCGGTTGTCTAAATAATTTTTCAGCTTCTTGATTGATTTGTAATTAACACGTTTCAGTTCCGTCACCATTCTATTAAATGTCTATGATCAAGTCTGGAAAAAGTTCAAAATCTGTCGCTTAAAATCAGGGACACATGTCATGTTATCTCGAAATTGTCATAAGAATCTGTGATATTGGCTCATTTAGATTTATGATGACTCACCAGCTGCAGTTTTAGCCGCGAGGAAGGCCGCGTAGACCAGCAAGATGAACGACGCCATCGCACCTGCAATAAAGAAACACCGGCGCTTTAGATTGCCACGTCCAATGAAACTGCCGTTCTCAGCCGACAAGAAAGATTGCCTACGCCTATTGCACCAATAGATTACTACTGAGACTCGTTCATTAACAACTATTAAGCCTTAATTGCTATCTCAGGCGGCTTAGCTCAAGATACAAGTCGATCGAACTGTTGAATGGTCATTGGTCGAACCGCTTTGGTATTTGGCTTAGCAAAGTCGCTCCACAGGCTCTAATAATACAATTATCATCGTTAAAACCAAAAATCTCACGGGCTTCATTTTCTTTACAGTACAAACTATAATATTAACTAGGATAAACTCATTTCCTTTAATATAATTACGAGCCTCTCCCTTGATATTACTTTTATCAAAGGAGAGGCGATATATTCCAAAGGCCGGATCCCTTGTGAATCAAGTCACGAAAAGTTCATGAATCGGCAACAGGCCATGGACCTATTTCTTCAACGCCGACACTTCTATTCTATTCTATTCTATTAACAAATGATGGGACGGAAACTCCAATATTTTATTGGTTCGTTCTAAACCCAACGTTTTAAGCTGTCACGGCTTCAAGAAAAGCTCTTGCTGCTTTAAAGGCACTGGCCTAGCATTAGACTAAAACTCTTTTAATGGCTCCGATTGACGATGTCGCCAGCAGACTTTAGCGAGCTAATAAACAACTTCGTGCTGGCAACCAGATGTGACATTAATATTTCAATTTTGATGATGTGGAAAACTGGGTATTGTATACAACCTTTGTTCACGGACGTCACCATTTCTCAACTGAGACAAATGGCTAGGAATTCTAAGTATTCACTTCAAATTTATACGTACTTTTTACACATAACTTAACTCTCATTTGTTACTCTAACTTTAATTGACAGGTAAAGCCAGTTCCTATATATGCCTTTGACGCTGCCTGGCAACTTTCAATACAACTTAACTCTCAGTTGTTACTATAATTTTGATTGACAGGTAAAGCCATGCAGTGCCTATATGCCTTTGACGCTGCCTGGTCACTTTCAACTTGTGTGTCGCGGTATCCAACTATTATGGAATACAAAGTATTTCATATTCGTGTTGCTATCCCATAAATTGGGTTATTAATTAGTCCGTTAATTTAGGTGTAATTAGGAGCTGTATAATATCAGGCTAGGTGAGCAGGCATAGTCTTATCACGTCCTCATTCAGGATCATCGGCCGCAATGCATACGAGTGATTCTACAAGTATGTCATGGACGTGCGGTTCAATCGCTTTCCGCTTATGGTTTTTCAACCTTGTATCAGTCATATAAACTGCATTATCTGTTATTTACCTGAACCTTATGCATACAATTTTATAATTTTGTAAATGCATCTACCCGCTGCTAAATTTCTAGTAAAATGAGCATCGTCTTGCTTGCTGTATTATTCCGAGAAGTACCTCTGCAGCCGCAGACTTTGACATGTAGTCTTTAGTGCTAACTACTCAAAGTCCTATGTGGAAGTAAGTAAAGCCATGGTTGAATTAATTCGTGTATTAATTCAACCATGAGTAAAGATTTCTTGGATCGACATTTGTGTCTCTATTAAAGGCTTGCGACCACACAGTACTCTCACTGTTTGGTAAGGGGCTATTTATTCATCTTGAATATTTGCTTATTCATCTTCGAATATTTCCTTAAGAATATTGAGTAAATAAATATATATGTATCATAATTCTCTTAATTGTTTGACATCCTACGATTTTATTCTCCAGTAAATGAAAATTTGATAAGAAAGGCACGAATAAATTATTGCTCGTCTTAAACCGCCAATCAATTCATTCATTATTTAAATTATTGGTGGGTCGGATCGATATTTCAGATCAGTTTTCAATCAAAATTTGTATAGTATTTATTTAGGGCTTGGTTTTCAGTATAATAATATGATAATGCAATATGCAAATGGCCTACCGACTTCTAATGTGTCTCAAAAGCTAATTACGAATTCTGATTCATATACATTTCTACTATTACAGAGGAGACCGCAATCAAAGAGTCCCTTTGAACGTGACCTGCAGAGACCCTCTAATTAACCATTCATTAATCTATTTCTTTCTCCAAATCAGCATGCAGCTCTTGGCATGAGTTGAGGCGATTTGCGATGCTCCAATATCAGAAGAAATGAAGACTCGTCCATAAGGTCTTGTTTTATTTTATTTTGAGAGTAAAATTCCATTGCAATCGATAAGCAATTTTTCACAAGAGTAAAGCACCTATCGATTTTAGTACCAGTTCAGCACATACGTTTAAAAAAAAAACAACTTCATCCAGTGACTGACCGCTTATTTAGCTCCCATTTGAGGCTCAGACGTCGTTATCAGAGCCCAACTTCTAAAAGCCACTGATTGCTCGATGCCTTTTTTACAGAAGCTATGATTACTGGGGCTTTTATTATTCGTTTTAACTTCGATAGCAGCTTTTTGCAGGCAGCCATTGTTGGGCTGTTAATACTTAAAATCTGTGAGAGTGAGCCGCGCTCATTTCCAGCCGCTAATGGCGGCAATACCATAGCCTTGCTGACCTCAAAACAAGGTCGCTGCACCAACTCTGGCCTTATTAAAATGACCATGTTCGAAATTAAAGGCCAGAGTAATACTGATAATTATCAGTGTTTTATCCCTGGCAATAAGATGGCTTTTTTTTAATTGTAGTATTATTAGAGAGATATAGGAGACACTTAATTATTAAAATAGGGAGTCTCTTATTAGGAGACATTATATTTGAGGGAGACATTTGAGAGACAATATAATAATTTCTTATGTTACCTATAGGAGACAATATATGAGGGAGACACATAGGGAGACACTTATTAAAATGACAATGTTCGAAATTAAACGCCACATTAATACTGATAATTATCAGTGTTTTATCCGTAGCCATAAGATGGCATTTTTAGCGCATTTTCTCATTTATGGAAAAAAGGCACTATTGTGCTCGCCATGTCCGTCTGTCTGTCTGTCCGTCCGTCCGTGACCTCAAATTTTCGTCGACGAGAAAATGCGCTCTCTGTCACTCACTGCAGTGAGTACTGAGTTATATTTTTTATTTAATTGTTTGAAAAGGATGGCTGAAATTTCCATAGGGAGACAGTGCGACCTACAATTTTGTAATGGCACTGTATTTCCAGAAGCACCAATTATTATCTTCTTAAACGCTGAGGAACATTTTAGGAATATTATTGAATGGCATTTACTTGCCAGTCGTCGTGGCAAGTAAATTATTGGCAAATATTGGCTTGCATTAGGCTGCTTTTATTAGTGCTTACCAGGCAGGCCGAAAAAAATTTGCGTTGTAAACACTCATTCGCGCGATTGTAAAACCATTTTATATGTTTTACCATGCATGTAAATATTAGATTAACCTATTTAATTACGTAGTTTTTTTGTTTATGTATAGCTTACATATCCCTTACCTGGTTTCACCCGGTTTTAAGGTTTTACTTATTATTTGCAGTCATTATGGATAGATTATTCCGGCAATTAAACCAGCATTTTTCTTCAATGAGCTTGTTCTTATTAAGGTTATAAGCTTTTTTTACCGCGATAAAAAATTATTTTACGACTAAAATGCAGTTTTCCTTTTCTCTACTCCTAAAATGCTGCTCTGCGCTACGGAGTATTCGAAGAAAGTATAACTTTGCAAAGTTTCTACTTTGCATTGAGTCTCGAACATTTCCTGACGAGCATCAATTGCTTCTGATAGAAAAAGTTAGAAGAAATTTTCGCACATCTAGTTTGCATTTACGGGAGGGGACGTTAGACACGTTCAGTATCGATGCGTTTTTTAGAATTGCGTTTGGGTGAAATGATTCTAATTCTATTCTAACTCTATTTAGGCATACTCTTGTCATCTAAATCATATGAAAATAGCCAGTCTTTCCATTCTATTCATGAGCTTTGACACACTCTTCAAGTGCCAAAGTGTTTAATACAAAAAATCAATAGTTTGACTCATGATTAAAACCAATATCTCGGAAGCTGATGTAAAATGAACGACAAGTCGTCAGAAAATGTTTAGCTTTATCTGTCCGCAGCAATCTTGATTGCTGGCCATTATATTGAGTTCTTGTTTGCATTATTGAGAACATTCAAAAGCTCGATGCAATGCTCAATTCTTCTTTAAAAATGATGATACGATGAGAATCTATTGTTCGTTCGCAAAGAGAAATCAACACCAATAACTCTTATGGGACTGGCGTTCAATGGAAAATGCTTTGAAGGTTACATTGGAATATGGCACAGACGTGGCTTGTAGTGTGATAAATATTCTCGTTGACTTTTATCGGACCTTTTATGTTTATTTGACCAAGTTTTGGCAATGGTTTCCCATCCCGGAAGTCGTTTTCAGATATTAAATAGAGTCTAAATCAAACTTGGCAGGACTATGGAGGTGTTCCACTATATTTGACTTGCAGTAGAGACGATGACTTGCTACATTTTTCTAAGAGTTGATGTGTCCTTAAAAATAAATAAAGAACAAAAGCACGCTGGACAAAAGACGCCATCAGGAAATGAATCTTCTTGACTGACAGTTGCATTTCTTAAACAATTCATGTCCCTGTTAAAGGGTGAATCTTCAGACTAGCGAGTACAATGTTGAATTTTTCAGAAGATAAACAATCCCGCAGGTGTTGAAAAATGTAGTTATCGAACGCACAAATTACAAAAAACTGTATAAGGAAACTTGAATATATTTTTCATTCCCGCAATGACTGTGCACACTCATGTTAGATAGAAATTAATAGTACGAATGATGGTTGATTTATCAAACCTCTTAAAACATATGCGTTTTTTCTGAAGATTTAAGTAACTATTAACGTTGTAGCGGTCCGACTTTCTGTCGTTCGCGCTCTTCTTCTTTCTTTCTTTCCGACACATTACTCGGAGCTGAAATTAGACATGAGCCGGGGTTGGCTCACTCTCGATTGAGCAGCCTGCCTGGGCGGGCGTGGCAGGACACCG